TCATTATCAGTGGCATATTATCAGTGGGATTTTGCTCCATCTCTATTCTCATTCTCAGGAATAAAACTGTGAACACAGTAAGGCAAATGGTCAACATTTACACTTCTATAGTGGTCAATGATTTATTACTTTTTATTATCTAAAGATATTATTGTCAGGCAGTTTGGGATGAATGTACATCATTAATCAAATTAGTATTATCCTAATAGTAGCTAATTATGTTTGGGGTTGGGGTCAGTTATTCTACAATGCTGTTTGAATTCTGATTCTAATCTGTGCTGATGAATCTACAGCTTTTTAAACTTCTCAAAGATATCTAAATATCTACTATTGTGTTTTTGGGCTACACCCCAATACATCAAAATGCTTTTAAATCTCTGTTGGTTCTAATCTATCTCATCGATCTAGGCATTAATCTAGGCTACACTCATATGGACTTTTTGCATAGTCAACATTCACTCATGTGTGAACACAAGTGAATTTGGCAAGTATCTAATAAAACTGTACATAAACTGTAATTAACTTTATCTACTTTTGAAGTAAATGCTTGTGAAATGGTCCCTTTACCATTTGATATTAGTACTGGCTACAAATATTCTCTATTTTTTAAAGCATCTATGGTTGATGCATTTATCTATTTCTATTTTTACACTATTGTGACTCCAAAGTTTGGCTGCAGTTTGAGCAAAGGCATATTCCTAATTTGTGACTTCTGTCACTTTTAGTGGCTGTAACATAACTCTGATTCTAATATTTTAGCTGATCTATCAAAAGGATAACATTGTAGGGTACTATTTTAACTCTTATGTGGAAATGTGTTTATGAAAAACAAAGGAAGTCAAATTCTACTCTTTTACTACTATTTAACATCTACTAAAACGCTACAATACTTATACTTTATCATTTTCAAAGTTTTTCTCTGTCAGATGTCTGAATACTTAACATGTATATTGCATTTGGTCACAGGTTCTGGTTGTAGCAATAGCATCGGCAATAGACGTTTTCATTGGCTGGTTCTTGTTCTGCAAATGGCTGTGTCCAATAGATCATCAGATGTCCAGAAGCTAGGGACAAACAAAAACAAAAGAAAGAATCATGAGTATCTCTCTCATTTAGCACTCATCAATGGCATTATTTCAATAATATAAACATCACTCCCCAGTTTTCTCTCTCTCAGATCCTCAGGTCCTCAGGGTCCTCAGGGTCCCCTGAGGGTGACTCTCAGTCGTCATCAGGTCAGGTCATCTTGGACATCAGTAGGGTCCAAGCCATGGTTCTGGTTCTGGTCTCCAGATGCACATCAGGATCTCCAGATACAGTCTTTTCACTTGAAGCACATCAGGTCATTTGCGATGCACTTCTTGTCAATGGTGCAGTGTCACAGTTCCTGTACACAGCTTGTTATGCAATAGTTACTTTCTATGGTTAAGTCACTTTGATTCTACTTTAACACAATTTCTATTCATGCTGTTGCTAATGTCCCTCAGACAAAAGCAAGCGCAGTTTACTTCTCTAATTTGTGTTTTTATCAGATCTAATTCTAATCAATGTAATTACTTCACACAGTACAAAATCAAAACATCAAAAGTGTCAGGACAGAGGTCAATTAAGTCCATGACAATATAGAATTCAAATGAACATTTCTGGTCTCAAAAAATACTGATTCAAGTGATAGACAATTAAAAATATGTGTTTACATTGGAGTAAACTTTTAAAATGCTTTTTTCTCATGTTCTGCTTTTTCATGTATCTATATGTAAATGTGAATGTGTGAGTGTATGTGTGTGTGTGTGTGTGTGTGTGTATGTGAATTTTGGGGTTGTTTCTCAAGACTCCACGAACCACCTGTAGGTGTCAAAGGTCACACTGTGGTGATGCAAACCACGTAGACACACTTTCAACTCCCTCTAGGTCTCTACCTGACGCTCCACCCATCACGTCTCCAGATACCTCTCTTTCATGGCCCCGGTCTCTCTCACACCCACTCAGTTCTGCAGTGGCGTGGGGAGGGGCAAGGAGGTGGCATTTTCCTTTGCTCTTTGATCTGTGACCTGTGGCTGGGTGGGCTTTGCGCTGTCCAGTGTCCAGCAGTGACCCCTCCCACAGTGTGCCAGAGTCTGAAAAACAATCCTTGAAACAGCCAATTTAAAAAAACAATAGATATCAGTATGCGAATGAGATTGTTTTTCTCTCTGAAGTCAAAACAATTTGAGCGCTCTGGGTTTTCCCAAGCGCTATGTAAATAAAGATTACTTATTCTCTTACTAATGATGACATTTTAAAACCAGAAACTAAAGAAGTTATCAAAACAACAATTATACTCAAAACAAACAACCTTTTAAACTTTAAAACATGTATTATATACTTTTGTACTGTGTGATTAATTATCTATGCGTCCTTGGGTTTCTTGAAACACGCCATGAAATGAAATTATGAAAAATCTCTATAAAAATGAACATTAATTTGTAAAAACATTTAAAACAAAACTTGAAATCAAACAAAAGATTTAGCTCCAGCTACACTGGATTTGGTTCAATAAAACTCAATTGTGCGTCGGAGCTGCCTCCTCATGTCTCTGAGCAGCAGCAAGGTCACGCGTGTAGTCAAAACAAAAACAAAAGTCACCGCTTGAATGTGAATTGGGTGAATTGGGTAGTTTAACTTAATAATATAATACTTTTACAGCCTAATTCTCTCTTTCTTTTTTAGACGAAGTCTACAATCATTAATCACTTTTAACAGATTCTAATTTAAATGTTTGAAAAACGGCTTTTGTAACTAAAATAAAAAATACATGAAAAAATTCTCACAAACAGCTATGAAATATATCAGAGATACAATAATGGACTCACAAAATAAGCAGCAGATTTAAAAAGAAAAGCAAAGCTTTTTGTACTAATCTTTGGGTTTCAAAAACATACTAATTCAAAACTTCTATTCCCTAATGGTGTTTAAAAACGTTTAACTGTGTCTAACACAATGTTCAAATGGCAAATTTAGCAAATTTAACGGAATAACTACTATGAAAAGCCAAATTCCTAAAGCAGTAGCTCCCCTTTAAATCAGAGCAGCAGCTCAGCAGCAGCGAGGGCGGGGGGGTTCCTTTCACACAGACGCGCACACACAGGCAGAAAGATACAGAAGAATAACTTTCAAGATTACTTTGTTAAGCGAATATAACTGATGTTCTTTATACTTTTGTCATCCAAATCTAGAAGTGATCACTTTCCACACTTGTAACAAAAGGCACTCTTGTCTTTGACGTTTACGCTTCTATTTTATCGAGGTAGCAAACTAATTTAAACTTAAAATCTCTTTCTAAAAAACAAAAACAACTGTTGGATACAGCCCTCTCATAGCTTAACTGTAGATAAAACTCGGCAAAAAATGTAAATAACTCACGAAAGCTCTCATAGCTCAACTTTAGATAAAACTCTGTATTCTCCGGTGAACTCTGTTCACTCCAAAAAACAAAAACTCCCTTTTCTGTATGTAATTTAAACCGTGATCACTGAAATATTGTTGCTTCTTTACTTTTGTCATTTATCAGCCTGAAATTCGTCAATTTCAACGCTTTTGTAACAAAGGCCTCCTTAACACGTTTCCCTTTTTATAATGACTTTTATGTTTACACCATGGTTTCACTTTTGGATCCAACACTTATGGCCAACACTTTTCACTTATGGATCCTCACTTTAATGGCCAACACTTTTCACTTTATGGATCCTTTTCACTTTAATGGCCAACACTTTTCACTTTATGGATCCTATTAATGGCCAACACTTTTCACTTTATGGATCCTATTCACTTTAATGGCCAACACTTTTCACTTTATGGATCCTATTCACTTTAATGGCCAACACTTATTTGAACACAATTTAGAGAGTTCGACAGACCTCAGAAACACACCCAAATTTAGCTAGTATCCAATTATGCAGACTTTACATTTAAAAAGGTGTCTGCTTACCTTATTCTTGTCAAAGAGGTGCGCACGGGCTGTCCGAGAGGTCTGCCAACTCTTTTCCGCGTCGGAATCTTCAATTTAAAAAAAACAAAAGTGACAGAAGCGACAAGAAGCATCCAGGAACAGCTCTTCCAGCCTGCTGGAATCTCCGCTCCCAGACACAGCATGCCGATCTCTCACGCAGAGGAAAAGAAACAGAGCAAGCTCCCTCAAAACAATCCAGAGAATGGCACAAACCGAGCCGCGCATTCTCCACCAAATCTGTTAGGATTTAAGCAGACAGAGACGGATCGTGGTGTGCCAAACTCTGGAAGTTTATTTATGTTGCTCTCAAGTTCCACTGGTTTACTCTGTTTCTTTTCCTCAGACAGAATAAAGGCAGTACACAGTTTATATAGTCATTGTCACGTCACACATCGAAAGACATACGTGTCACAAAGAGACAGTCAAATCATAGTCATAACATGGAGTCCTTGTAGAGTCCTTGTACAGTCCTGCACGTAGGCCATATTGCTATCTAATACTAATAATATATAAAAATATGTAATCCCTCAGTTGTATGCACAGCTAAACAGGACTGTTTTTAACCTGGTTTTAAGTCAGAGAGGAGGCCTGTCTCACATCTTCAGGAAGATTGTTCTAGATTCTAGCAGCATGAATCTGAAAAGCAGCCTCCCCATGTTTAGTTCTGACTCTGGGCACTAACAGGAGTCCAGTCCCTGAGCTCCTCAGAGTCCGGGCTGGTTCATATGGGACTAACATGTCACTAATATATTTTGGTGCGAGGCCATGGAGAGATTTGTACACAAGCAGAGCTGTTTTAAAGTCTATTCTCTGAGCCACAGGAAGCCAGTGCAGGGACCTGAGGACTGGACTAATGTGAAGAAAAATCAATAGCTTTAGATAGAAATTATTAATCTTGAACAGAGTAAATTCTGACTGCCTTTGAACAAGACTTTTCCATTGCACGGGCAAATATGTATTCTTTTAAAAGAGAAATTCCAATTCTCCCTTGAGAAATTAATTGCAACTGCTCGTAAACTCTTGAATTTTTTTAAAAAAGTATACAAAAATTAATCTTTTACATACTTTTAAAACATAATTTTTGCATTGTTTTTGGCAATTGCAATTCCTCAGTATGGTTTTAATTACATGGATTTATAATACTTATATTCAGAAATTAGTTGACCACATATTTACTTCATAATTATTCGACTTTGAGAAATTCCAGTTATCACGAGTGGTCGATCCAGACAACACAGATTTAACATCACGATCTAAAACATACCGCCTCATAAGCACAGTCCCTTGTAGAAGCTAACCACATGATTCAAACATTGTCCGTTCATATAAGAAAGAAGTGTGTTGTTGTCTGTGAAATCCCGAGTTCTGTGAAGTGATGAATTGCTGTTTGATTCTTGCGCAATCTCCTCAGACTTTCAGAACTTATTTTCCTCAATACTGCATCTTTATTTGTGGAGGGAATAGTGGTTCATATTTCATACCCCTTCAGATTCACTCCTCATTGCATCATTGTTTACTTTTGACTTTGTTCTTAACATCTTAAATATTTTATTGATTGTCTTTGCTCTAACGTGGATTTCCGTTCCTTTGCTCTCCAGTTGACAGCTGCGCCTCTTCGACACCATCTTCAGAGCTGTACTCTTCCAGCTACAAAGACGAATCCCCCCCTAAAAGTCAAACAAACCAGTGAGTTAAAACCTGTCTGGAAGTTGTAGAATGTACTTCATTTGTGAAACAGTAAAACAATTAAAAATACATATGTTTTTGAGCAGCTTTGGGCCGTACTCGTCCTCCCCAGTGGGCATAGACGATGTGCGCCTGTGCCTCCGGGAGCAGAGTCAGTCTGTGTGTGTGGAGAGCAGCTCCAGTCTGTCTCACAGCAGAGACAAACCACAGATCAGGAGACGCTCGCTGCCTGGAGCGCCCTCTCATGGTGAGTGCAGGTGAAGGTAAACCCAAGCATGTGTGGGTTATGCGCTTCTGCAATTGAGAAAAGCAGTGTTGTCGCATGTACTGAAAGGGCAAACTCTCTTCCAATCCTAAGAAATGGACTTGAAACAAATTTTGATACTGCAGTGACATTCAGAAAAATAGAATAAAAATTGGAGGAGCTGCTATTTTTTAACATAAACTAAAACAATAAAAAATGGTATTACCAGGTTTTATTCTAGTTCTGAGAATCTTACTTTTTGTCCTATTTTTTTCAGTGTTACATTTTCTGTATTGAGCATCTAGTTTTGATACTTGATTGATTGTTCTAGTACCTAACTCGAGAACCAAGTTGTTTTAAAAAAAATTATCTATATAGTAACCTATGAAACATGTGGTTTTGGTCTAAGCTCTGTCAGAACAGATTTTATTTTGTCCAACAATAGGTGTTCTGTATCCAAACTCCATTTTGTGAACACTTAATAACATTCTCATGTGGCTGTGCTCAGGGTCCCCACTGCGGCGGCAGCTCTGTGCCTGCAGGAGCTGTTTCGGTCACAGGTCGGGGGGGTCAGAGGCCGGAGACGGTCTGCCCTGCCTGGACACGGAGGTGTGGAGCTGGGGCCGCGGGTCAGAGGGCCAGCTGGGACATGGGGATCAGCTTGCCAGGTGAGGACAGGACTGCATTCACTATTAAGTTACTTTAGTTGTGGGATATGTTCACATCATGATTTGAAATACAGTTTGACATGTTTTTTTTAAAAGCCCCCACAATCTGGCGCCTTTGTGTTTCTGATTTACTTGTGCCTTATGAACAGGTGTGCGGTTCCAGATCCTCGGACCTCAGCCCTGTTCATCAACTGCAAGTGACCGACTGTACAAAAAAAACAGGAAATCACAAGATTTAAAAAAATAAAAATAAAAAAATTGTATCATGGGGTGAAAAATAAGTAGTTATAGCTAAATTTGACCAAAAATGAACTGGACTAAATGTCAACCTAACACTTTGTAATGTATTCTTTGTTGACAATGACAGAGGTGAAACATTTCCTGCAGGTTCTCACCAGTTTACCACACAATGTAACTGGTATTTTGTCCCATTCTTCAATGCAGATCTTGTCAATAGTTATGTTTTGGGACTGTCGCTGGGAAACACTTTGACCTTCCTTCACACATTTTCTGTTGGGATGAGGTCTGGCGAGGTTGATCCAGGACCTTTAAATGCCAGCCATGTTTCATCTTTAATGTTGACACTGATGGAAGAAGTTTTTTGTCCCAAATCTCACAATACATTGCCCCCATTCATCCTGTCCATTATCAGATCCGTTGTCCTGTCCCCTCTGCTCAAAATCAGCCAAATTGCTGCTATAACTCATGCATAAATGATAATCAGTGCAGAATGAATTTGGAAGCACCAATTGTAGATGCAGATTACACATAACGTTTAAAGGATGCTAGGATTCTTCTGCTGTTAAATATGATTGACCTCATTTATCTTTGTGCTCAGGCTTCAGCCTCTGTGCATCAAACCTCTGACTGGTGAAGAGGTGATTAAAGTGGCTGCAGGGTCTCACCATTCACTGGCCATCACTGCCCACTGTCAGGTAGCTTTGTTAAAATCCCCTAATACTTTTTTGTGATTCCAATTAAACATTATATATAAACATTAATCTGGATGTTTATTTTCTCCTTATTAATCTGGATGTGTTTTAGGTGTACTCCTGGGGCAGTAACATGTGTGGTCAGCTGGGTCATGTGAACAGTCCGGTCACAGTCCCAAAACAGGCCAAGGTACAGTAAGTGATCCGTGTTCAGTTCAGGGTCCTCGCCACTTAAAGACGACCTAAAGAACCCTTTATGGAGAGGGATCCATCACCTGTTTTACTCCAGACTATCCCTTTGCCTGTAGTTTGTCACATCTGCTTTTAAACTTTCAAATTCAAATGAAGTATCCAAGGCACTCTTGACTCTTGTTTGGTCTTTTAGACTCAGCGTGGTTGAAAAGCATCAGTATGTCCCTCTTTGATATAATTAAAGGACTTTAATTACACTAGTCAAGATGGCCTTAGATATTTCTCCTTCTCTCTGTCACTAAGTTCACTTATACCACTGGATCCTCCATAAGCACACTCACCATTTCTCTTATTTTCTGTACAATCTTAGACGCATCTTATGCTTTTCTTCAATGAGATATATGATTAAAATGTAGCACTGTTTATTAGAAGAGCTTCAATCAAACGTTTTATGGAGACGAGCTGATTTCGAGCCAGCTCTAGAAAAGTGCTGCTTTTAACTTGTGTGCTTGTTTTTGCAGCTCTCTGAGGGGTTCCGTGTTTGGGACATCTCAGCGGGACAGAGCCACTCTCTGATGTTGGCCGATGGAGACTGTGTGCAGCCCGTGCTCCTGTACTGTGGGCAGCAGCAGGAGAAAACATGTTCAACTCCTCCAAAGGGAACAAGGTCGTGTCAGAGGTCTCCCAACAGATCTGAGAGCTACAGCGTCAGGCCCACTCTGATGCCTTTCTGCACGGAGGTTTGCACTGCCACACTTGAATTGGATGTATATACATGTACACACATTCTAAATATGATAGTAAATGTTGTCAGGGCCATGTTGAAGGAACAAAATGAGCACAGAGGTAATGTTTGCTGCATGCCTTGATGTGTACATGTGTATGTGTATTCATCAAAACTGAAATTTCCCCACTGTGGCACGAATAAAGGGCATTCTTCTAAATGATATGACGAATAATATCTTCTATCAACCATTTTAATTCAAGCCTTTTTGTGTCTGTGTGTGTTTGTGTGTTTGTGTGTCTGTAGCTGGGTTACATCAGCAGCGTTCACAGTGGAGGACAGACATGTGCACTTCTTGCAGACCAAAACATCATGGGCTTCATCTCAGCAATCCACGAGCTCGCATCAAGGGAACGACAGCTCTATTGTTGGTTAAGCAGCGTCAAGAAAATCTTCCTCACTCCACTACGCACAAGAGGTGCTCAAACTGTTAATATCATAAACTTCTAAACTGATTTTATTTGTACATTTCCAACTGTTAAGCTTGGTTTAGTCCTATCGCTTTCACTTATCTGTCTCATCTTTTCAATCAGTGTTTTCAGAGAGAACCATCCTCACTCAGTGCTGCGCCCAAACTGTCTAATAGTGACTCGCAGGGTTCCTTTTTACAGCTTTGCAAAAGATACTGTTTTGTAATAAGTGAAAGACAGCATGTTGTGATCTTTCTTCTGAATTGAATTTAGGCATCCCTTTATTTAATCTACGAATTATTCTTCATGTGTTCTACAGAGGGCGTGAATCCGTGTCTCGGCGACCCGTGCACTCGGCTCTTCTTTTGTGTTTGTGAAAAGTCTTTTTCTCTGAACCTCCTGATTGGACAAGACGCTGCCGCCCTCAGCTACTTCCTGCACGATCTGCAGAGCTGTGATGTCACTTCCCTTCCGCTCGTTTCCCACACTGACCACTTCATGGACACCTTTAAAGAGTAGGACATGGTTTTGTATCTAATGTTAAGAAGCAATCAGGAATATTGGAATGATCTAAAAGAAGTTTTTCCTCTTTCTTTCAGGTATTGTTCTGCTGTTGGAGATTTTCAGGTCATGGGTGGATTTCAGAATCTTCAGAAGCTATCAAAGTAGGTCTAGTTTCTATCTGGGCATGTATTTTAATGAATATCCATTTTGACAGAGAAAGAATTGAAGTCTGTGTTTGGTAAACTGTGGTAAGCAAGCTCCTTTTGGTATTCTGCTGTATCTCTGGAGTCCTTAGTGTGTTACTCATCCAGAGATATTGTAGTCCTTTTTAGGTCCTGGCTTCAAATCAATCAAATTTATTTATAAAGCACAATTCTTTACAGTGTAACCCAAAGTGCTTCACAAGCAAAAAAACAGTGTATATGCATATAAAATATTGTAATAAAAAGTTAAAAGTTACGAACATTTAAAAAATAAATACTTCAGATTAGTCATATGCATACCTGAATAAGACAGTTTTCAGCCTGGACTTAAACATTGCCAGGGTCGAGGCCTGTCTCACAAGTTCAGGGAGACTGTTCCAAATTCTGGCTGCATACATTTGAAATGCCGCCTCCCCATGTCCAGTCCTGACCCTAGGCACCAGCAGGAGGCCAGTCCCTGTGCTCCGCAGTGTCCTAGCCGGCTCATATGGCGCTAACATTTCTCGAATATACTGTGGTGCGAGGCCATGAAGAGACTTATACACAAGTAGAGCTGCTTTAAAATCAACTCTCTGAGCCACAGGAAGCCAGTGCAGAGACTTAAGAACTGGACTAATGTGGTCGTACTTCCTGGTTCCAGTCAGGACTCGAGCCGCTGCATTTTGGATGTACTGCAGCTGCTTTACAGCCTGTTTGGAGAGACCTGTGAGCAGGCCATTACAGTAGTCTAACCTACTGGAGACAAAAGCATGGATAAGTCTTTCTAAATCAGGTTTAGACACAATACCTTTGATTCTGGAAATGTTTTTTAAATGATAAAAAGCCACTGATGTTATTGAATTTATGTGCCGCTGAAAATTCAGCTCTGTGTCCAGGACTACCCCAAGATTTCTAACCTGATTTACAGGTTTCAGGGAGAGAGACTGCAGGTAACTGGTGACAGTTTCTCTTTGCTTCTGAGGTCCAAAGACAATTGTTTCTGGCTTGGAACTAATATAGACCCTGAAAATGAATTATTTAGATCTGGTTGAAACTGTGTAGGCCAAACACATGTACTCTATGGTACTTTCTATAAAACATTTCATTTCTCTATTCATCAAGATGTACAACAACATTAGGCATTAAAGCAAACCAGGCGGGAGCTCACCCTCCTTTTTAAACAATTATTTATTGTCAAATGGATAGGCTCTATTGTATCTTGTCAGTAAGTCATCAGCTGCCTGCTCCTGCATGAGTGAAATTACGCAACGCCTTTATAAACTTATCTCTCATCTCTGTCTCTGCAGCGACTGTTTAGGCTCCAAACACGACGAGCTCCATCAGCTCAGTGTGTCGGACTCGGACAAGGATGAGGTGGACCTTGTCTCACTGTTGTATTGGCCTTTACAGCAGCTTCACCACTACAGCCGACTGCTGCTCAAGCTGGCCGCCTGCTACGATGTGGTGAGCCTTCATTATGCACAGGGTTTAAGGTTTAAGGTGGAATTTAGTCTCATTCATGGAGTATATTGTAAGACAGAACTTTTTAATGAAATCAATCTCTTCTCATTAACCTACGACGACAAGTCTATAGTGACTGGTGCATCTTGCTTTTCTCACAAATTGTGCATTTTTCTGGTCTCTAGTCTCTCTCTGTTTGTGTTTGTGTGGAGTGAACACAGTCAAAGGCCTTCTTCCCCTTTCACAAACTATACATTCTTTGATTTTTCACTTATGTTTTGAGATGTTATGAAAACTCTAGACACAGATGTATGACCTTTCTGTGTATAATCATCTCAATGCTTTGAATTGGACTTGGCGAGTTACACTGATTTCTCTCCTCACATGTGAATGAACAGCAACCTTTCTATAGATAATACTGTATCTATAGAAAGGTTGCTGTTCATTCACATGTGAGGAGAGAAATCAGTATAACTCGCCAAGTCCAATTTAAATGCTTTGAGCAACAGGGATGTGAGTCTGTGCTTGTGAAATTCCAGTTATTTTGGCATTTGATTATGGGGACCTTTTAGAATCTGATTAACAAAATTTTTCAGTAAAACTTCCCTCTACTCCACTGGGGTTTTACTGGAAAACAAAACGGCTAGAAACAAATGTATTTCAGAATGGACTGTCTGCTTTTTCAGACACACAATATTCTTGGTCTTGAAAAATCTGTGAAAAACGGCTGGCAATATGGGAGTAGCTGTTCTGAAATTGGCTGGCAGGCAAATGGTTTAATCACATAAAGTTGATAAAACTGAGACGAGAAGTCCAGCAGACGTATTTAAGCACCGTGGAAGAACAATTGCTTATGTAAAACATATTTAGACATTTATAGGCTCTCATTTTTAATCGGATGCTCTGATTGCATTTTCAAATATCATTCCAAACAGAATTCAACCCGTTTCATGTCCTTGTAGTGTACTTAACATTTCTTGTGTCCTCAGCTCAATGAAGAGTACCAGTGCCTCCACCAGGGCTGCAGTCTGTTCGAGTCTCTGTCGTCATCGTTGCTAAAAAGGAAAAAAGAGGCAGAAAGGACGTGCAACTTTTGGAAAACACACTCCGGGAAAACTACTGTGAGCGCTCCTTCTTTGATTTTACAACTTAATGACCCAATGCTTTCTCACAGCTAATTTAACAAGTGAGAATGTCCCATATGGTTAGCAGCTCAAAGTCCCATTAGCCGTGCTGCAGACCAATGCTTGTTAAAATACAGTCAGGCTTTTCTTTACTATTATCACTGCAAAATGTGATTCAAAATAGGTCAAACTGCTCAAATTTGGCAAAATGTAGATCTGAATTTGAGCCCATTTTGGATGCCTTAAAACAAGATTTGTCAATGGGACAAGCAAAATTATCTTGTTTTAAAAAGATACGAGAAATTAGGGCTGCACGATATTGGAAATTAGAACAATATTTGATAACGATATTATTGCAATATTTTTGTCTTTCACCTAAAATTGCAATCTGCATTGAAACGCAAGAGACAAAAAACAATAAATAAGCTCAACATTTATGACATTCAAATGCATATATTTTTTCATTATTTTTTCTTTTTGAATGTTGATGTTGATGATTTTTATATGGATATCGCACGCACCAATATCGCGATAACAATATTTTTTGATATATTGTGCAGCCCTACTTTAAATGTCTCCCTTGGAATGAGAGAATGTACTCAAATTAAGATAAAAACACTCTTTCAAGCATTTTTACCTCATAAATAATTATGTTTTGCTGTGTAGTGTGAGAAAATGTGTCATGTTATAGATATGATGTGTGTTTTCAGGAGTTGCTTCGTTTGCCTCATCGCCGTGTGGTGTGTGAGAGCAGCCACAGAACTCTGACTTTACAAAACGCAGGACGCTTTTCCAACCACTGGTTCATTCTGTTCAACGATGCTCTGGTCCACACACAAGTAAGACTCACAACACACAAACTGTCACGAATACGTTCTAAAAATGTGAATAAATGATTTGTCTCTCGCTCAGGGCTCAATTCCTTCTAAGAGTTTTGTAAGTACTGTGTGTGTCTCTGGACTTTAGCTTTGCCTTGTCCTGCGTCTGGGTGCACAGGTTTTACTGCAGCGTAAATGTTGACATCTTTTGTTAACATTTATTTGAGTTTGTTTGATGTTTTAAAACCAAATCTCATAACGTGAAAATAGTGAAGTTGATTCCACGTATTTTAAAGGTGCACATGGAACTTTTCTAGTGGAGTGTTTTTACCACCCAGCTGCGTCATGAACATTTTACTGCTTTGCCTGGAATGTGTTTTTAGGACTGTTTTAGCACTTTTTTAGGACTGAGAAGGCTCTCCAGTCCAAATTCATACTGATCTTGTATTATTTAAGCTTGGTTTACTCTCCGTACATAGAAGAATAACAATAATAACAGTATATGTCAATTTTCCCAACACAAAGACTCTTGTAAAAGTAAAGTCACTATTTGACTCTTTGAGAGATTCTATTAAAACACTTATTTAAAGCTGTTGTACCTGCAGTGGGGAAAAGAAAGTAGTTGTAATTTAGCCACCAATTGTGCAAGTTCTCTCACTTGGAGAACTGAAAATCTTTGGAGGGAGTTGACAATCTGTGTTGCCCAGCAACGGCCCCAAACATAACTCCTCTAGAGGAGATTTGCATGGAGGAATGGGCCAAAATACCAGCGTCAGTGTATGAGAACCTTGTGAAGACTTACAGAACCCTTTGAGCTCTGTTATAATTCCTTTCTTGGCAATGACAAAGTATTGACAGGAACTTTTGTTATTGACCAAATACTCATTTTTCACTGTAATTAGATTTATTTTGCTTTCACTATCAATTGATTCTGGTGAAGGTAAATATCCATTTTGTTTTGTCTAATCACTGAAAATGTTATTCAAAATAGGTCCTGTTGTGTTTCTAACAGGGATGTATTCTCCAAGTGATGACAGAACTTTGGGATCAGTTAAAACACAATAATGTTCAGGAAATTGGCTTTAGTGATATCATAAGAACTTTCACTCGGTCAAACTACAACTACAAAAACATTCCTAGTATCTGTAGAATTCTGGATCGGTGTACCCCTAGAAAGTGTTACGGTCATATTATGGAACAGTCCAGACAAAGCAACAAATCCATAAAGGCTGGATGATTTTAACATTTATTGCTCGTGTCAATCAATCTCAATGTTATGATTTATGTTGCCATAAACCAAACAAAAAAAAACATGCATTTATTGCCATCTATCATATTTTATAACTTTTTTAGGCCGTAATGACAAATAAAAATACCAGTTTGTGACCATATTTAATCAGCACTGTTAAAACAATGACTAGAAAATGTTACATGGTGCATGTTTAACTGTGGCTAGCTTTAGACTGGTCTTTGTTTTGTTAGTTTCACTTTGCTGCTTCCTAATTTAAGATTAGAAATGTTAGAAAGAATAGTCTCAAATACGTTTAGATGTAATTTAAAAAGATGTCTCTTTCAAACATTGTTTTACATTGAATAAGTGGAGTTTCATTAAAGAGAAATCCGAACCAAATCAGCGTTTTCTCAGCATGGCGTTACTAACATGGAAGTGCTGGTGTGGGGACTCTGGTCTGGGACTTGTGGTGGTTTTGGATTATTTTCTCTTTCAACACTGAAAGCTGCACTTTATAAACCACTATAACATACTGTGGTGTGTGAGTAATACTTCTGAATTCTCTGTCCACAGTTTTCCACTCATCACATTTACCTGCTGACGTGTCTGTGGGTCAAACCAGTCACTGAAAACAACAATGGCGTGTGAGTTTTCAATAAACTTCATTCAACACGTTCTAAACATGAACATAGTGCTTTGTAATTTGTAAAAAATCAAACGGCTCTCAAAAATGTTTGGTTCTATTGCTAGTGTTCACATGAATTTGTTTTTGGTTTTTAGATCAGCTTTAATTACAATGAAATATTTGCAAAAGCATACATTAACAACAGGAAATCACACACACCCATGTGTTTGTGTGGGTTTCCTCCAGGTGCTTTGATTTCTCTTACTACTTAAATATATGTACAGTAGATAAAACACCGCAGCTCTGCTCCTGACCAATATAAACATCTGGAGACGGTTCCTCTGGAGTCGTCCTGTGGCGACCGAGTGATTGCCACTGGACGACTCCTGACAGGCCCGAGTGGCTTTGCAGGATGGGTCAAATGCAGAGGACACATTTCTCTAAAGGGTTTGTGTAAAGACTTATTGCACTTATCTGAATGATTCACTCATTTTCATGGTTTTGTGGCCCACAAAAACTATGTTGCTTTAGAGTAATAACACAAGTTGAAAAAAATGGTCAGGGGTTTCTTAACTGATTTAGACTAATTTTGGTGTTCTGAGTCTGAATATCACATGCATTTTGCTCTATCAGGTCAACTTTTTGAGATACAGCCATAGTGTTACGGATTACGTACATCTACGTTTTACGTGTGTGGTGTGTGCGAAAAAAATTCGTAGTGAACTCTAAAATTTTGTGTCACGTAACGCTCATTGTTTTACTAATATTATGAATTCTGCTTATCAAATTGGATGGAGTAAATAAAAACGGAATGACTTTGGATACGTTGACTTTTATTTCTTGAGGAAAACGGAAAAAACGTCAAGGGTTTCTCAGCTGATGATCCGCAGAAATTTCTTTTTAACGTAAAATAGATTTTTTTTTTTTTTATTCTGTAGCAAAAAATCCTGACCTGATTGAACAAAACCAAGGTCATTTTCGGACTCGGAGCATCAAAATTAGTCTAATTCAGCTGGAAAACCCTGGACTATTTTCAAAATATATTTTTTTGTTACCCAGTGTAATCACACTGTAATAATTCAGGGGAAACCAGACGGTAATGTGATGTTTTGAAATATCTTTTCAGTTTTAAATCTGTTTTTCTTTTTACAGCCATGCCATCAAAATTATTTGTCCAGAAGAAAGTTTCTCACTGGTGGCATCTACACCAGAAGAAAAGGTACATTTATCCTGATACTATGACAGTATTGCTCCAGGCTACATTGAACCATTTTATGCCACTGACAAAAAAAACTCTAAAGATTTCTGATCTCAAAGGATATGACATAACTCATAGAATAAATAAAAAAATTTTTTATCTATCGTAAAACTGGAAAACCCTTTGGATGTACTGATATTATTTCTGATAATTTTTTTACGTCCGCCTTCATTGATTATTAAAATTGCTTTTTTGTGTGCCTTTTCTTCTCCTGACGTTCACAGAATAAGTGGCTGCGGGCTCTGAACTCGGCTGTGGACCTGGTTCTCGGAGGAGGAGGTCAGGGCTCGGGGGTTACGGCGATGTCCCGCACCGCCAGCTACACGTTCACCGCAGAGGGCCGCTTCAAAGACGCATATTACACTGGGCACTGGCAGAACGGGAGAGTCCACGGGAGGTCTGTGTCAACGTATAACAGCAAATTGGGGAAAACTTCACCCATGAGCATGTCCCCATTTAGCTTCATAGACTGCAGTAGGAATGAACAAGGCTACATATTTATGCTTGTTGCTATTGACAAAATGAGTGGTGTTTTTCCATAGATTAAAGATGAAAGAGAACATATATAATTCATTTTTCTTAAACTTTTGCAGAGGAACGATGAAATGGCCTGATGGACAGATTTATACCGGAAACTTCAAAAATGGAGTGGAAAATGGGTCAGTCTAGCAATTAATCCCCAGATTTGAATGCTCCCTGACACTAACGATTGGGACTTCTCTACACAAGAAATACAACAAATAATAGAAATGTATTGATTCCGACTTGTGCTGATTCTAGTTATGGTGAGTGCTTGATGCCAAACAAGGCGTTGAACAAAGCAGACTGCTACCAAGGGCAATGGAAAGACGGACAGATCCATGGTTTTGGAAAATACAAGTGAGTGCACAATATACAACAGGTTCCATTTTCTCGACTTGCATATTTAAGCCTGATCTTCTCTTACCTCAGAACTGGAATGGGACACAAAATGATTAGACAATGCTAGTGCAAACTGAGCAAAGAATCAAAATAAGAATTGCCTGTAGTGCCTAGAATAATCTGGTATGAATTGTGTTTTTTAGGTACGCCGCAGGTGAGGTTTACGAGGGCTGTTTCTTTGAAGGCCAGCGCCATGGTTACGGGATGCTCAGCTCTGGTCGACTGGCGCGCTCCTCCTCCAGCGTTTTCATTGGACAGTGGGATCACAACAAGAAGGCGGGATATGGAGTCTATGATGACATCACCTGGTACTGTCAAAGTGTTTCTCATTCTGGTTTTTAAGTGTTCCCTATTCCATTGTACTGTGCATCACAATACAGAAATGGGAAAAGGAAAAAGTTTATATCATATTCAAATACAGTTGTGCCTAGAAGTTTACATGCCCAGGCAGAAATCTCATTGTTTTGGAGATTATGAATGATTACACACTCACTTTCTCAATCATTGTTAGTGGTTGTGTGAAGCCATTTATTGTTAGATAAAAATATTGTAAAATAATTGAACCACTCTGGACAGATCTCAAATGTCCAGTCCCTGCTTGGTGTCCCAGGAATTTACAGAAACTGGAGGCCTTTTGACAAGAATAATGGTCAGGTTCACCCCGCTCCATATCGGTGTTTCTTGAGTCATTCATTTAAATAGGATTGTGACGATACTATGAACAACCACCTAAGCCCTCAAGAACCAATTTGTATCTGTCTAGCCCCCTGCCCTTCCGTGTCGCTCCTCCGTAAAGTGTGTTATGTAAACGCTTTGTTTGTTGTTCTTGTTGAATGTTGATGTGTCTGTCTGTTTTGTTGACTTTAATAAAGGAAAAAAAAGAAAGAAAAATATCAGATGATCTAAGTCTAAAACAATTTGAAGCTGAATAAAATCAGATAAAAAGTCGATTTTAAATCTTTAGCATCACGGAAGGATTCAGTTCAATTTATTTTTGTATAGCCCTAAATCACAGCAGTAGTTATCTTGGAGGACTTTTTGTCGATTTGTCAACACAGATCAGAGAATCAAACAAACACAGGAAATGCAACGATAAAAAATACATAGAGCAATAATTGGTCCATAAGGGGCGGATCCTTAGACCTTCCAGTTTTACCATTTGAATAGGTTGACAATGGTAATAAATGAAAATATACATGTTCTTCCCACTCAAACCTGCCCCATATGGCGGGAAAAGAAAGAAAGAAAAAAAAATAGGATTGTGATGTGGTAGAACAAATGTTTTTTCTTTCTTTTTGCTCAACTCATCAATTTGGGGTTGGATAGTAGTTTTAAAGTAAAGATTAATGATTAAATCTTAGAACGTTTTGATTCAGCATGGCCTGTAAACCTCCTATTCTTAGAAAGATCAATATTTTTTTGTTCTTCATTGTTATTTTTGGTTGTTATTACTGGAATAAATTCAATGACAATACGAACACTATACTTTCCCTGTGCTTTCTGCAGTGGTCAGAAATACATGGGGATCTGGGTGGAGGATCAGCGCCATGGAAACGCAGTTGTAGTCACTCAACACGGCCTTTACTTTGAAGGAACGTTCAAGGAAAACAAGATGAGCGTAAGATGACTAATGCAGTATATAAAACATTTTCTGGTCTGGGGATTTTATTAGTGTTCAACAGAAACAAGTGAAAAGGTCGAACTCAGTGATGCTTTGTTTTTCCAGGGTTCAGGTTTACTGGTGTCTGACGATGACACCACTTTCCATGGAGAGTTCTCTGATGAATGGACCGTTAATGGAAAGGTAGCGTGCTCCGGTCTTTGGTCAGAACAAATGTGACAATAACAAAACTAATACACACAGTCGTGAAGTGAGAATTCTTGATCATATATAATTGATATAACTGTTTTTTCTCACTCCAGGGTCTCTTGCTGCTGGCGAATGGCGACTGTTTTGACGGTGAATTCAGTGGAGAATGGGCTTCACTCAAAGTTACCGGCACATACACCAAAACACCAGCGGGCGAACCAGTGAACCGAGAGAGAAGCAACACACTGTAAGAGCAACTTAGATTGTATAGCATTTATTAATTTTGTTGCATTCAGCTTAACAATGTTTCACTCCTTAACTGTACCAGGATTCTTACCCATTGAACTACCCATTTTTCCATATATTTTACAGTATAAATGTGTAAAATATATCACATATGGAATAGTTTTGATTATATTTGTTTATGTATAATTTTTACTTTTGTTTCTATAGATATGTCCTTTTACGTTTACCTAAATGAAAAGTAGAAAGTACACAAACCATCTCTCATATTGTATGTAGAAAAAGTTGTTTAATGATAATGATATACATATGTGATATACACTGAAGTTTAGGGATACCCAGAGAGAGCTGCTCTTGTACTTCTTGCTCACGTCCTGGTGTTTGTGTGTCCGCAGTGCGTTGGGGCAGTATGTGGTTCCAGCGGGGCAGCGGTGGCTCTGTGTGTTTGACGAGTGTTGGAGTCGTCTGGGCTGCACCGCCCCCGGAGACGGAGAGAGGACCGTGGCCTGGGACAACATTGCTGTTTCCATAACAACCACCAGAAGACAAATGTAAGTGATAGCGAAGGGTGAGCAAAAACATCTCAGGAAAATATTGATTAATAAAAAAAAATGATATTGTATTAATATGAAAATAATGTCTTTCATTCAGTTTTATTTTGACCCAGCACTTTCTCCACAACACAGGATGTTTGGGTCTTTGTCTTTGTCTGTGGCAAAACATTTAAAATTATTTTTGTCTTTTTGTGTCTAGTCCAGATCTCACTAAATCTCAGAGTAAGATCCTGGAGAGCCTGGAGCTCATTCCTCAACATGAAGAAATTGTTACCACTGCGAACTACGACCATGTCCGCCGATACCTCTCTAAAGTAAGTCTTATAGTGCATGCTTCAAAGTGCCTGTGTCAGTACAGTAGGAAAGTACCGTAAAGATGATGCAAGCACTGCACATTTGACGGTTATTATTCTAGTTTTGCCATCATTTTTGTTGATAAATATTACTTCTTCATTGTATGTCATGTTATCACACTAGGGACATCCTATCTTATATAACATGTAATAATTACTTACTTTTTTTATTAGATAAAAAATAACATTATTCTTGTGGAGTTCATGGTAAAGATGTCAAAAAATGTATATACATTGACCCAGAAATGTGGTTTTAATTTTGTTTTAAACTTTGGGATCTGCAAAAGCATAAATTACATTGACAACGGCTATTCTTCCGACATAAACACTGCGTGTGTCTGTGGCAGGCGTGCGAGACTCCCCTGCACCCGCTGGGCTGGCTCGTGGAGACACTGGTGACCGTGTACAGAATGACTTATGTGGGCTCCAACCGAAAACTCATCAAGCAGGCTGTGGAGGAGGTCCATGCCTATCTGCACCACTTCTTCCACATCGTCAGGTCAGTGCACAACAACCCTACACACCGGGGACAGGTATTATTAAAACAGGAGACGACTTACATTCAACTGTTAGTCCAAACATCAGGTAAAGTTGCGCTACATAACCGTTTGGCTAAGAATCAAATGTGTTTAAATACCCATAATTTCCCTTTTTGTTATAGTATCTAGCAGGTGATTTGTAGAGAGATAAGCTTGCTCACAATGGAATTTATGATTTTCAATGTGTTTTCGTAATACCTGTGGAATTCAAATCAAACACCCAATCTTCTCCGGATCGTTTCAAGAAAATAAAGTGCGTCTCTATGGACAGACACCAGCAAAATTACAATTACTTTTTATTGGCTTTTAAAGAGTGGTTGACTTGAATCTAGAATCTTTCTCAATCACAAATAATTCCTCCAAAATTCCTCCTTTCCCGTTGGCAGGTTTCTGTTCCCGGGTCTACCAGAGGACGGCAGCATTATCCCCGATCCTCCGACTTCTCCCACCAGATGTAGACACTCCTTCATTTCTAACACAGAGGAACAATGGTGAGTCAAACTATTACTTTTATTATGCTTAAATGGACCCCGGTAACAAGGTAATCTGAGAATATGTATAAAACTCATAAAGGCAGATCTGATATTGTCCTTTCCCTGCAGTGTTGTTGTGGTGAGTCGCTCGTCTCTGCTGCTGCCGCTGCTGCTCCCTCGTCTGTACCCTCCGCTCTTCACTCTGTACGGGCTGCAGCAGGAGCAGGACGAGGCCACGTACTGGGAGCGCATCCTCCGACTCAACAAGTCTCCAGACCAAGCCCTGCTCAGCTTCTTAGGAGTGCACCAGTGAGTCACATTCAAGATGATTGTAAAGCAACATGATTGATGAGGAAAATATGAAGAGGAATTGTTTTTTTCTAAGCTAATATGGGAATCTTCAAGCACAATTTCTCTGTGTGCCATGTTTTATGTTTAACACCAGAATGTAATTAGCCTTGTTTATTTCTAGATAGAAGTGTGTCTCAACTCAACATCCATCCCTAATATATACTGTATGGATAGTTTGTAAAACATAATGGCTATTCCTCCAACATTTTTCACACAATAGTGTGACACTTCTGATGGAGCCCAGTTTTAGTTCAGATTACAGTACTCTTGGACTTGTTTTAGTTTGTCTAAACTTAAGTGTTTTAATTTCATGTAGGAAGTTTTGGCCTCTCTGGATGTCGATTCTTGGGGAGAAGAAGCAGGTTTGTTGTGACAATATCTACAGATTTTGTACAAAATTTCCTATAAAGTTCTGTTTCATGTATTTTTTCACAGATCGTGTCGAGCAGCAAAGACGCCTGTTTTGTCTCCGCTGTGGAGACGCTGCAGCAGATCAGGTCCTGATCAGAACCATGTTTAAAGCTCATGGATCATCTTGGATTCAATGGGCTTTTGTCACAGTACACACACTGCTCCTTTTCTCTAAATGTGTTTTTATTAAAAAAGATGTGTTTATGATACAAATATCACTTTGCAGCGCTGTGCTGGTTTTTCTGGCCGCTGTTTGCAGCAAACTGTTAATGCTGGAGAAGGTTTTTTTTACTAACCACAAAAATGGCTGTGTAATAAATATCCATCTTACCAGTTACTTCTTTCACAACAGTTTGGTTCTGCCATTTCCTTTGAATGCATTTTTAAGCCTCTGTCACATCTTTAGATCTGCTTGTTCAACCAGAAAATGGAAAAAGGGAGGACCACCCTCACCAGCGAGCAGCCCACAGAGTCAATCAGGCTTCTTTTTCTAAATTAGATACATAAACTCTATAAGCACTACATAGAAGGAAAAAGCCCAATTTTACATTTCTGGGATTTGTGACATTACTTTGTTTCTTTCATTTGCATCGACCCTGGCAGCACAACATTCACACCGTCAGACAAACTGACCGTGATCCAGAAGACTTTTGAGGAGCTGACGCAAGAAGTAAAGCCGCTGGTGGAGGAGAGCTTCCTGTGGTGCATGGACGACCTGTTTCCTCTCTTCCTGTACGTGGTGATCAGAGCCAGGTCAGTACAAACCTCTCACTGACGCCACCACACTGCAGACTCGCACATAATCACCGTCTTCTTCAGGATCAGGAACTTGGGAGCCGAAGTGAGTCTGATTGAAGATTTTATGGATCCTAATCTAGAGCACGGAGAGATGGGGCTGATGTTTACCACACTGAAGGTGAGAGGGTCTAAAAAACATTTAAAAAACAAAAGCAACACACATTTAGCTTAGATGTTATTACATTTAGTTGATGTCAGGCCTATTTCAGGGTCACCGTTAGCGGACTGTCCTCGCTAGCAGATCCAGCGAGACAGCAAAATAATTGTAGGAGCCTGAACGAGAAAAGAGAATGTTTTACAATTTTATTTGAGGTTGCTGATTGTATTTGTAAACTGCATTAATGCATTGAGTCCCTGGATAAAATTGGCTTATTAGCTTGTTTAACATTTTTTTTGTTTTTTAATTTTTAATATTTTGTTGACTTGGAGTCTGAATGAAGACACTGAAAAAATAAACAAACTAACTATCTAGCAAGCATGAAAGATTGACCACAAGATTATGCATGTAAAGATGCATTTTAACACCTATACTGAAATACAAGGCTAAACAATAAAATGATATGAAGGAACATTTTGGGCCAGGCCTTCAGACACACATTTTAGATAAACCTTTTCAGCGCCAATTAGGAAAATAATTCCACTTGGTTTTTGAGTTGCATAAGGGGATGATCTAGGACATTATGGACATTGGTGTCCTGCTCCTTATGTGTTTGATTATTTTTGCATTCCCGGGGTTCAAACTGTGATTCTCTGATCTGTGTTGGCAAATCAACAAGTCCTCCAAGGGAATTTCTGTTGAGATTTAATGCTATACAAAAAGAAAATGAATTCAAATGAGGATAAACACTGAGGTGGTTCAACAGAGTATTGTTGTGTTCTTCATTGACTGTTTGTGTGCAGGCTTGTTATTTCCAAATTCAACAGGAGTCGATGTAGCAGCTGGAAACAAGAAGGCAACGACGACAAGCAAAATCCAAGTTTACAAACTGAATAGTAGGAAGAAAATTCAACACAAACACTTCTGGACACTTAGCACTTACGCTGTGGATGCACTGCCCTCTGCTGGAAGCTCCCACTACTGCACTGCTCACCTCCAGCTCAAAGAACCTCCACAAACACACTAAAAACATCACAGCCTGAACATGGTGCCAAAATAACTCTAGCAATATTTATTTATATTGTGTCAAACACTCAGCATTGGTATTTGAAGGGGACTCTGATTTGCAGTTTGCACCAGATTATAAAACTACTGGATGAAAATAGGTCTGGAGTCTCAGCACTGGACTAGGAATAGACCTTAACTTTTTTGTAATGAGTTTGAGAAAGAACTGAGTGAAGAATAAAGGGAAGGTCACTCTTTTCTCACCTTTAATGTTTTGATACTGAAGTGCTTTTTGAGTATTTGCAGAACTAAATCATGATATGTTTGAAAAATGACTAATTATATAATGTAAAAACTTATTTTTCCAGCACTAAACTATGCAATACCTCAAACATGCTTTGAATGTTGTGTTTTAAAGGGATATTCTTTTGACAGATTATGTAAATTAGGTATATTAGGAGTTTGTATTCATAAAGGAGAAATATGTATATCCTGTTACTTTACTTAAACATTCAGTTTGATTCAAAACTGATTCAATTAATGTTCCTTGTGTAAAAATGGGACTTGGAATTCTATCAGGCGAACGCTCATGTTTTAATAATTTGTATATTTTGTGAATGCAGTTTATTTTTTACTTTGCACAAATTAACAATTTTTTCTTTGATTGTTATGTTTTTTTGTGTTTATACCTGAAAGAAATCTTTATAATTTCAAAGGCACTTGGTCTGAAACAAGACTATAATGATACTAATTGTTCTTTGATGTAACATTTGTGTTCACTGTAAAAACTAAAGTAACATATTTTGTTATTATTTCTAAAAGGGACAATAAATGTCTATGCAGTTCTATGTCGTTGCAGTGATCCCTCTTTTACGTCTAATTTACTAAACCACATCTACACTGAAAACCTCCTGCCTATTTTTGAATTGACTGCTCTGCCATTTCAAGTTGTTTTTGTTTTTGTAGAAAGAAAGGGAATTAGTTGTAGGTTGAAATGGCAGAAACTAAAAACATGCTTTTAGCTCTATATATTTTATATCAAGTCAATTATTTCACATGTTTCACAATGTAAAATGACTTCAAGCTAACCCTATCCTACTTTTTGTTTCATAAATACAGTCTATTTTTCCGAACAGAGAGAACAGTAGTGTGGACAAATTGGACAACCTCATTTTTAAATTGGATTAGAATGGAAGAGTGAGAGTGGTCCATTTTTGTTTTATTTTTTACTTTTCTATCTGAAAAAGCTGATTTAAATACGTGTTGTGGTTTTACATTCAAAAGCATTTCGGCCCCAAGTGAACCAGGATTGGTCCGGTTAAAGTGGACTAGGCAAGTTTGAACATATTCAGTTTCATTACCATTTGCAATAAATAAATACTCCAGTGTGCACCAAATCTTCTGTACGTTGAAATATTGTCATCAACAGCTACAGCCAAGTATATACACATATGTAAAGATGTTTTTTTTTTCTACCATATTGTCATTACCATTTATACTTGTTATGCATTATGTTTGAAGCGTAACCCCAGTGAACTTTGCATTAGTCATACTTGCATGTGAAATCTAGATCCTGTCAGACCTCTGAAGCTGTGCATGGCAGTTTCTGGTTAATACTATGATGGGAGACCTCTGTGACCATCAGGTGCCAAAGTGGGGTGACTGTGGCTTTAAAGTGCCAAACTGTCGCATCCTCAGACAAGAAACTTCACCAACGTTGCCTAGAATGAGCCTGGTGTGTGTGAATAGTTGATTGTGGTGGTCGGAGGGAGGGACTGATGGCACCTATTGATTGCCTCGCTTCTGTCAGTGTGCCCCAGGGCAGCTGTGGCTACGGTAGTTGATCACCACAGTGTATGGAGAAAAGAATAATGACACATGAAGCGTCTTTGAGTGTGTCGCTTCATAAAACCATGCATTATTATTATTACTGGATGAAGACTTCTCCAACTGGCCAGCAGATGGCGCCCTTGGTCTTGTCCTGGACTTCCATCTCGTCAACGTGCCGAAATAGTTTTGTTTTGTGTTATATCTACACCATGACACTCCACACCTATAAAACTTGAACCATCCAGATTCAACATGTGTCCGGTATAACTTTTTAGTTCAATATCTCTCCAAAATCCAAAATGAACTGGCCTGGAGGGACCGGCGCTGGCCTTATGTGAGTCTGTGGTGAGAGTACTCGAACAGAAACACGATTCTTTGTTAAATGATTTATTATTTATGTGAAACGTGTGGTAAGTGAAGCTCAGGACACGATGTGCGTCTAATTTTAGCTCTTTTGGGAACAACCGGGTGTGGATGTTTCTAGAAGGAACTCATTTGCACGATTAATGATGACGTCACTGTTTATGTGGTGTCCAGTACAAAAACACTCTTGACAAGTTTTATTACTACAATTACAGCCATTACTACTTATACCACTACTTTAACAACAGCAATATAATGAAAAGTACTACTACTACTACTACTACTACTACTGCTACCATTATATTACTACTACTATCAGGGGCTGGTGCTATGTTTCTGGCCACCCCCCTGACCCAGAAATGGATTAAGGGGAAGAAAATGGATGAATGGATACTACTACCACTACTACTACTACTACCATCAGTATTACTACTTCTACTAATACCACTACTACTAACACTACTTCTAATCCCTACTACTACTACTACTACTACTACTACCAGGCTTTTAGATTTATTCTTTTGTTTATACAGCACAATTCATACCCAGGTCAACTCAAATTTCTTTACAAAACATCAAAAATTAAAATCTTAAAACCAGTATAAGCATACATATTCACAGTGCATTCATTTGTTTAAAATAATAATAAATGTAAACAAAAGAACTGGATATGAAGATTGTCGGAGTAGAAGCTTGTCTCATATTAAACCACACTGCTGCTATTGGCCTAACTTTATGATTATGTGAAATATTTGACTTGATTCATACTAAACAATACAAAAACATTACTCCATAGTGTTTTATCTTTTGTCTTGTCTATAATCCAGCCCAGCTATATCGCATGAAGCATGTCTAAATAAGGTTTGTATGGACATTTATCAATATTCATGGACATTGGTACCTCCCTATATAGACCAATTCATATGTGTATGTTTTGTGTCTTAACTGTTGATTCTCTGATCTGTGTTGGTGATTTCAATGGTTTTATTAAGTCCTCTGAGATGATGCTGTTGTGATTTTGGGCTATACAAGGATAAGTTGCTGTTGTTTGTTAATTGCAGTGTATAGTTAATCAGTTAAGAGTTAGTCTCATGTATATGTTTTGTTTTGTTCAGCAATGTGATTTTATTATGTCTATACTTTTGCCAGTTTTTCTGTTAAATAGTTTAAACTAAATTACCCCTTCTCCGTTTCTTTTGAACCCTTTGACCCACGTACAGTAGTTGTTGATAGAAACATTGTCGCTGCTGGTGAGTGTTTTGGAATAAGTCACATCGGAAATCTTTTATTCTTTACGCTTGAGTTTAAAGCTGTCTCTGCTGACTGACTCTGTGTTTATACAACGCTTCTGTTTGATAGCGATGCTGGTCTTGCCAAATACAAAATACTGGCACTGGTACTGGTAAGAGATCCTTTAATGCTGCGTGTACTAACGGCTCAAGTCAGAATGTGTAATAGTATTTTACCCTCTACTTTAATGTGCTGATTGAGTCTTAAAGCTGGAGGTTTCGGAGTATTTTTCTTATAAATATGACATTCTTTATGTTCCAACAGACACCCACTACAGTCTGTCTTTAAACAGTGTGTCTTTGGCATTCCTCTGTGTGTATGCGACTCTTGGGCTGAAAGCTGATTGGCAGAGTGGGGGTGGTCTTTTGTTTTTTCCTTTTTTTTTACTGAAAACGCTGATCTAAAGATGTGACATGGGACAAAATGACTTGTTTTTGAAAAGTAGTGATAGAAGCAAACTGTTTTTAGAGCGAGGGACATACAGAATGAGATTTCAGAAGATAGCTCTAGTTTATGTGGTTTGAAAGTTAGGTACCCCAGCTTTGTGTTGCATTTACTAACCATACATTATACTGTACTGTTTACACACACTAGCAAGCCAGTCCATGGTAATTATGTATATGAATAATAGAATAGTTTCTCATTTTTGCTCTAAATGCTGATGTATTGACACTTGATTGACAGTTATAACTCAGCTGTTTTCCGGGTGGAGGGTCTCCATTTTTCTTGGATCCATCTAAATGTTTTTTTTGCCCAGAATGTCTCACAGCTCGGCACTAAACTGTTCCATCTTCACTGCAGACAAGAATGTGACTTCAAGGCTAAGTTGAGACGAGCCAACCAAACCTGAACTCTGAAGGTATTAAGCTGTAGAAACGTCTTAAATTTACATCCAGCCTCGTTTGATTTGTCCAAATGTGTAGGCGAGCGTTGCTGTTTGCAGAGACTGTTCCCACTTATAATTAGAGTACGAGTCATCAAAGGCTATAACATAAATCAAAGAATACAGTTTTACAATATCTTTTCTTAATCATTTTCTGTCAATATTCAATCTAAACCTTTCTCTAGCAGTGACCTGAACCATATTTGGGACATTATGATGTTCTATAGCTTCACCTTAAGACCAGCTCACCTTCACAGTATGTCTTTGTACTGCCAATTTATATCCACCTCCTCCGTCTCTTCAGCCAAACATAATTGAATTAGGTTTTTATTTTCCCAGTTTGGACTTGTTACTGTGGATGTGACAGCTTGTTAGGAGCGTCAGTGTTGCCAGCGAACACATGGGATTCAGTCACATGCAGCTGTTTGTCCCCATCTGCTCAATACAAGACAGAACAAGACCGAGACC